GTTTTACCGTCAGAACTTAGCTGGATGTCCCTGTAGCGTTGTGGCATCAATATAACGATGACATGAATCAAAATTTGAAGAATTGTGCAGTATGAGAGAGATGACTGCGAATGATCGAAACAAAAATATACTTTTACAAAAAGAGAAAAATAATAAATAAAAATGAACTTTAAAATAAATGTCATGAGAATTGACTTATTCACATGAACAAAAGTATCAAAAAGAAGGGGGTCATTTAGTGTGATTGAAATGATGCTATGTCTTTGTTGCTGGAAATAATTCTTTAAATGCAACCCATTGACTTTAAATGTGCATCAATCCACTAAGTTCTTTAATAATACGACACCATGAGGGAAAACTTCAAGATCTTTGTAAAGGCCTAACCAACAAGAACATAATTTCTCATGGAATAGTTTTAGTCTTGACTTAAAAAACAACACTTGCTGTCCAACAATGAATTCCCTTGGCAAAGTATTTTGATCATACCATTTCTTGATCTTGTCCTTATAATTGCATGAACTCTCATAAGAATTATTTCGGATCTCCTCCAAGTCATTAAGCTACAACATTCGTTTTTCACCTGCAGCTTCTAAATCAAAATTCATCCTCTTTAATACCCATATAGCTTTATGCTCTAGCTCCACATGTTAACAAAACGCTTCTCCATAAACAAGACAACAAGGGGAATCCCTAATGGAGTCTTTTAGGTGGTCCTATAAGTCCATAATGCTTCTTCAAGGCATAGGGACCAATCCTTTCTAGAAGGGTTCACCACTTTCTCAAGAATTTGTTTGATTTCTCAGTTAGACATTTCAGCCTGAACATTAAATTATGGATTATATGATGTAGAAATCTTATACTCCACTCCATATCTATTCAATGTTTTAACAACCTGATGACCAATAAAATGAGATCCTTCATCATTGATAAATGCTCGAGGGGTTCCAAAGTGAGTGAAAATAATTTTTGTGCATGAATCACAACATTGTTTTAGCATTGCTATTTGAAAAGGCTACAACTTCCACCCATTTTTATATATAGTCTATAGCAACTAGAATAAAAAGGTTCCCACATGAAGAAAGGTATAGACCCATAATGTCTAATCCCCACACAACAAATAGCTTAATCTTCAAAATAGGTTACATTGGCATTTTATTTCGTCGAGAAATATTCCCAGTTCACTGGCAACGATCACAATGCTTTACAAAGTCATTGACATCTTTAAAAAGTGAGGACCAATATCATCCAAATAAAAGCACTTTTAATACTATTCATATACCACCAAAATATCCTCCATATGGGGCACTATGAAAATGTGATAGAATGCTTTGTTGATCATATTGAGGGATACATTGCCGCATAAGTTGATCATTACATTGCTTCAATAAATATGACTCCTCCGAATGGTATTGCTTTACATCCCGCATAAATTTCCTTCAACCATGATAATTTAGGTCTAGTGGCATCATCCCACAAACTAGATAGTTGGCAAAATCAATATACCATGGTAATGTTGTAGCGGCTAACAGACGCTCATCAGGGATTTGTCTAGAATTATTGCAATGTTTTCATCTTCGCTGTCCGATCCTAACCTAGAAACGTGATTAGCCACCTGATTTTCATATCCTTTCTTATCCCAAATCTCAATGTCAAATTCCCGGAGTAAAAGTACCCATCGGATCAAACGAGGAATTGTATCATTCTTGGAGAATAAATGCTTCAGCGCTGAGTGCTCAGTATAGACAATCACTTTCGTGCCCGCAATATATAAATGGAATTTATCAAAAGCAAACACCACAATAAGCAACTCGTTTTCAGTTGTGGTGTAATTGACATGTGTTGCATTTAATGTTCTACTTGCATAATGTATGACGTGAAACATTTTATCTTTCCGTTTGCCCCAGCACTGCTCCTACAGCGAAATCGCTAGCATCACACATTAATTCAAAGGGAAAACTCCAATATGGTGTTGTAATAATAGAGGCATTCACTAGCTTCAATTTAATTGTCTCAAAGGATTGAAGCACTTTATCATCAACAATGAACGTCATGGTTTTCTCCAGCAATGAGCACAATGGCTTAGAAATCTGAGAGAAACCTTTAATAAACCTTCTATAGAAACCAACATGACCAAGAAAACTTCGAACAACCTTCACATTAGTAGGTGGTGCCAATTTCTCAATAAGTTCTATTTTTGCTTTATCCACTTCAATGACATAGCTTGAAATTCAGTGCCCTAGCACTATGCCCTCTATGACCATTAAATGGAATTTTTCGCAATTCAAAACTAAGTTGGTTTCCTCACATGTTCTCAAAACTGCAGCCAAATTGCTCAAACAATTCTCAAAGTTCTACCCTAAGATTGAAAAATCATCCATAAAACCTTAAGATATTCTTCAATCATATCAGAGAAAATGGCCATCATACAACGCTGGAATATCGCTGGAGCATTACATAAACCAAACGCCATTCTGTGAAATGCAAAGGCACCATACATACATGTGAATATTGTTTTCTCCTGATCCTCTAGAGCTATAGTAATTTGATTATAACCTCTATATCCATCCAAAAAACAGTAAAAACATTACCAACAAGTCGATCTAGCATTTGGTATATAAACGAAAATGGGAAGTGGTGTTTTGTTATTTCTTTGTTGAGCTTTCTGTCCATACATATTCTCCAACCAGTAGTAGTTCTTGTCGGCACTAATTTATTTTTATCATTTTCACCACAGTAATGTCACCCTTCTTTGGAACGCATTGCATAGGACTAACCCAATTGCTGTCCAGAATCGAGAATATAATCCTAGCAACCAACCATTTGATAATCTTCTTTCAAACCACTTCGTTCATGATTGGATTTAATCTCCACTGATGTTCATTAGAGCTACTATTTAGATCCTGTAAATGAATTTTGTGCATACAAAATGATGGACTAATAATGCCTTTTATATCAGTAATGCTCTATGCAATAGTCTTTTTATACTGTTTCAACATATCAATAAGTTGGGCTTCTTGTGATGTTGTAAGCTGTGTGGCCACAATCACTGGCAAAGTCTTATTTTCTCCAAGATAAGCATATTTCAATTGCTTTGGAAAAGGTTTCAATTCAAGCTTTGGTATTCTTCAATAGATGGCTTCGGTTTTTAAAGAATGTGATTATTCATTTGCAAAGGTTCAATGCTCTAGAAATACTTGCTATAACATTCGGCTTCTTCATATGTCAAGAATTCTTTAAATGCTTCTAAATCTCATAAAGTTGTATCGGCGCTATAACATTCCTCCAAATGCTCTTGTGAAAAAATATCAATCACATCAAGTGAAAAACATTCAACATTGTCATTGATGTAATAAACATTATTCAAGACATTAAAAGTAATATGTTCATCATTCAAATGCATAGTTAATTCTCCCTTTTCAACATCAATCAAAGCACGACCTGTAGCTAGGAATGGGCGACCGAGAATAATTGGAACATCTTTGTCTGCTTCACAATCTAGAATAATAAAGTCTATAGGAAATATAAACTTTTCCAATCACTCAAGCATGTTCTCCACAATACAACTAGGATGCACGGTAGAGCGATCAATAAGTTGCAGAGTAACCGTAGTGGGCCTTGCCTCGCCGCTTCCAAATTTCCTAAAGATTGACAATGGCATTAGATTTATTCTAGCACTCAGATCACATAAGGTTTTGCCTAAAAATTTGTCACCAATGTTACAAGGAATAGTGAAACTTCCTGGATCCTTAAGCTTCGATGGCAATTGACTTGTAGTCATAACGCTACATCTTTAATAAGAGCAAATATCTGAAACTCACCAAGTTTTCGTTTCTTCAACAGGACTTCTTCATGAATTTGATATAATTCAGATTTTACTCTGAAGTACCAATAAATGGAATGTTAAGTGTGGGTTGGCGAAAAACACCAATAAAAGTTTTATATTACTGATCTTCATTTTTCTTCTTGAAGCGCTGTGGAAATGGTGGAGGCATTTTTTGTTGTTGTTGCTTAGGAAATGAAGTCGACTCTACATTAGATACAGCAGGGATTGCTATTGGCAATGATTTTGAATTACTACTCTACCCTGCATATATTGTTGTGAATTAATGGTTCATCTTCAATCTCTTTTCTCCTCCATTTACCATGCTAATGAGCTTCCTCATTCTTTCTCCTTGGTTCTTCAACTGGTTCCCAAATATGAGTTCCACTTCTTGTGGTAATGTCCTTCCAATTCTTCTTACCATTTTGCTTAGGATTCTCAGTGTCGCTAGGGAGCGATCCTGGTAATCGATTATTTAAAGCATTAGCCGTTTGTCCCATCTGATTCTCAATAGCCCTTAATGAGGCAAATTGGCTTTCCATATATTCTTTCATCATGGCTTCGAAAGGTGTTAAGGTTGGTGTTTGGTTCGAAGGTTGGCCTTGGTAATTCTACCTTTGTTGTGGCTGAGCAACATATTGTTGTGCCTGCGGTTGCGGCATTTGACTCTGCTGAGTGTAATGCTACGGATGATATTACTGATGATTTGGATTTGCAACATTCTAACTTCTCCAAGAAATATTGTGATGATTTCTGAAATTTGGACTGTATGTATTGCCAAAAGCATTATCATGCCTTGGATAATTCCATACATAGTAGATAGACCCTGGATTTGGGGGCATTCATAAAAAATTATGGTCATCGCCACAATATAAGAGATGTGGCTTTGACTTCATACATTCCTCTTAGGTTATTCAATTTCTTCACCACTTCAGTCAATGCTGAAATCTGAGATTCCATAGATTTGAAAGCTTCCAAGTCTACTACTACAGCACCACGCTGACCAAACGTATTACACGTATTAGGGTATTGGCAATCGTTGGTGGAGATTCTCTCGAGGATATCATATCCTTTATTGTATGTCTTATTCAGCTAAGCTCTATTTGCTGAGGCATCAACCACCATTCGAGTGTGAATATTTAACCCATTATAAAACATCTCAATTTGAGTACAATGTGGGAATCCATCCATAGGACACTTCCGCAGCAAATCTTTAATTCTTTCCCATGCTTCATACAAGCTTTCATCGTCTATCTGCTTGAATGAAGTTAAATCCTTTCGAAGCTTAGCATTCATATTCGACAGGTTAAATCACAACAAGAACTTCTGCTTTAATTCATTTCATGATACTATAGCATCTGATGGAAGTGAACTCAACGAACCACGTGCTTTATCAGCAATGAAAAAGGAAATAGCTTGCCTCCTCCGGAATACCTTTTTGAATAAATGAATCACAAATCTCCATAAAAGCTCTCAAATGGGCTATAGGGTCTTTAGAAACAGAACCTCCATATTATCCAATATATTGCATCATTTGGAACATAATAGGCTTTAATTTGAAGTTCGCGGTATTAATAAATGGCCTCATAATGACTGGATGTAGATCATCCAATATCGACAACACATGCTCACGAATAAGGAGGTTACAATCATCCAAATTCTGATATGATTACCCAGCTCCAATGCCAGCTGGCAACTCATTATTCTATCTATTCTATAGTGTGGGTAAAATAACATTTCCTCGTCCAGCCATAGCAGCTTCACGACGACGTCTGCGGAATGTTCTTTCAATCTCTGGATCAAATGGCTCTATGTCGTCATCGCTTCAGGACATACACTAGTAAAAACATAGACTAAGAACACCTACAAAAAAAGTAAGAAAAATGAAAAGAACTCTAAATCAAACTGATGCTCCCAGAACAAGGACACCAAAAACTTGATGCTATGTATCGCTAGAGAGAAGAGTGTTTTCATTAGAGTTTTCAACAATAAGATTTACCAAAGATTTGAGATGCTAAAAAAGTAATGAAATAAATAACAAAATATACCAGTTCATGCTATATCATTATAGAAAGTAATTGGTCAATTATCAAATCAAATGATTTAATATTATGACTTCCAAGTTTTCTGCAAACAGTGCACACTTAATCTATGTGATCAGCATTGATTAAAACCTTTTTAACTACTTTAATAACTTTCATTAATTAAAGGCTCAAACTATTAACAATACTAATCAATTGGTTGCACACTTTTCAGTATACTTATGCTTCTCAACAACACCAATGCTCACAAACGTGTATAGCAATTCAAATAAAACTATTTCTAGATTAAAACAAAAATACTATATATCTAATTTCAATTATTTCTACTCATAATCATGAAGTTCAAATCTCATAAACTAAGTACCCAAGGAAATAAAAATAAGAAAATTCATAATAAGCATCCAACAAAAGCTTAAACATTCAAATCACTTTCTCTATCAAGAGAAGGCTTTGAATGGTAATCTTCTAACCACTGAAGCTCTTTAGCAAGCTTCCCTTGTGCTGCAACAATCCTTGGTAGAGGACTTAGGCTTTCAGGGCATGGAAAGAATTAATGTGGAAATGGTACTTTGGATCTCTCATAATCATCAACCTTTTTACACTCAAGTACTCCTTTTTTATAGCTTGGATGAGAATTTCATCGTCCAATAGGAAAGGTTCACGTTTCAAGTGTTATCCAGCCACATGAAAGCTAACCAAGCCAGCTGTCCCAATATAGAAGTTTCTCTCAACCGTCTAGAGTTTAGACGATCGCTACAGCATCCGATCAATATTTCATGTAGTGTTATAACATTAGTGCAACAATTTTCAACAGAAAAAATCAAGTTTAGCCCTTATCAACCCATGATGCTCCTACCAAGCAGAATATGTAAAATTAATTAATTTTAATACTAAAATGTTCCTAAACATGCTCAAGTTCAAACTAAACTTAAGTGAAAAAGGCTACTAAAGATAACTCTTTTGGAGTGTTAACAATACACATGGATAGGAACACACGCTCTAATTCTATTCTAATCCTAATATCTAGTTGCAGAGTTCATTTCACTTACAACCAATGGTTGAAGAGATACACTTTGCTCACAGTAATCGATAAGAGAGCCAATATCATTAAGCCAATTGTCCCTCCAAAAGTCTATATGATAACCATCTCAAATAATACATAATATATTTTTACTAACCTCCACCCAAATGCAAATTAAGCCCTTCCAAATGCAAGAACATTTTTCGATGGTCAATGGTCCTAGAAATATCTTCTCTCCACTTGTAATTACTTTTATGACTCAGATCCACAATTTATCATCATCCCCTATAAGTTGCATCATGATTTTTATGAGAAAGGCCTCATTTTGTTTCCCTATATCTTTAATTCCCAATCCCCCTTTATCAACAAGAAGTTTCATTGTATCCCAATTGACTAAGTGCAATTTCTGCGACACTTCATTTGAGTACCACACAAACCGACGGATTAATTTCTCTAACGCGTAGAACACAACTCTTGGTAACCAATTTGATTATATCGCATAGTAAGGAATTACCTGTATAACTGACTTAGCAAGCATAATGAGTCCTGCTAGAGAGAGACTCTTTTATGCCCATCTAAACAATCGTCTTTCCAAATTCTCAATTAGATACTTGTACATCACCTTAGTCATCTTACCATGCAAGAGGGGCACCCCTAAATATTTTCCAAGGTTTTTGACCTCCTCATAACAAAATTTATGAGCGACATCAGCTCTCACCAAATTATCGTAATTATTGGATAAATATATATGTGTTTTAGTAGTGTTTATCTGATGCCCCAAAAACTCACAAAACTATTGTAATTAGTCTTTAATGGCCCTCATTTCATCCATGGAAACTTCTATAAAAAGAACCAAGTCATCCACAAATAATAAATGGGAAACATCAGGTCCATTCCTCGAGAGATGAATTTGCTTCCACAACCTTGAAACAACTCGGTGATTAATAACATGCGATAACCTGTCCATAAAAAGAACAAAAATGTATGGTGGGAGAGGATCTCCCAGATGAATACCTATGGACTGAACAAAACTCTTCGACACCTCATCATTCCACAAAATCTAAGTTGAGATTGTAGTAATGCATATCATGATATATCTTATAAACTTTTCAGGTAAACCCGCCTCCAAGAGAGTTTCCTCAACGAAAGTCCATTCAAACCTATCATAGGCCTTCTCAAGGTCCACTTTAATCGCCATCCATGCTTCCGGACCCATCTTGTTATGCATATAATGTATCACCTCCTGAGCCAAAATAATGTTATCAGTTATGTTCCTTCCAGGTACAACCCTAACCTGGTTTTAAGAAATCCATTTCGGAAGTAAATCTTAGTAATAATTTTATACTATATCGTACATAGACTAATCGACCAGAATTGTGAAATCTGCTCAGGCACCTCCACTTTGGGAATAAACACTAAGGTTTTGTTGACCTCCTCAGCAAGAACTCCATCATCAAAGAACTCCTTAACAAATCAAAATGCATCATTCCCTATGATATTCCAATTTTTTAAAAAAGCGAGCTTAAAATCTGTCCATACCAGGTGCTTTATAAGGATCCATCATGAATAAAATTTGGCAAACCTCCTCATAGCCGACCAATCTAGTTAACATATTTAAGCGATAAAACTCAACCTGTCTATATCCACCATTGAGATCACCCCCGCATCGTAACATGGAATGATCCTTGCAACATAAACCATTCTCCATCTGAAGCATCCTAATAGTATTTAGATGTCTTTCACTAATGGTTGTGGCATGAAAAAAAATAGTATACGATCTCCTAGAGCTATCCATCTACTTCTAGATTTTTGATTCCATAAGCTCTTTTCCTTCTCGAGAATCATGTCCAGATCCATTTTAAAACCCTCAAATAGATCCAGAAGGAAATAAAACTCACCATAATCCAAAGCCAACTCAACGCCTCAAATTCTAGCCAGCAGAAGCGTCTTCTTCTTACCAATTTGACAAAAAACCTCGTTATTCCATTGTCGGCATTTACCTTGAAACTCGACAAGGCCATCCAAAAAAAGAGTATTTTGAGCATAGGAGTTGATATGAACCTCTGAAAATTAGGATGCTCATTCCAGGCTTCTACAAAGTAGAAAGTCGGTTATTATACAAAGGTTTAGCAACATTGGTTGATAACAAGATGGGATTGTGATCCGATCCAACTTTTTGAAGATGGATAACCTCAGAGTTACTAAAACATCTCAGTCGATGATTGTAATGCCATGGATCCTAGTTAAGAGTTTGGGCTAACCCGAGATGGGCTTTGGGTAATTATTTTGGCTTGGACGAAGCCTTGACCCAAAAACAAGTGAAATTAAGCTTGGATTTAGCCCAATAGTGGATAAAAGAGTATTTTCTTTAGTTTACAGTCAGAATCAGAGGGACCAATAGAGTAATTTTACCATTATTAAAAATAAAGGTTGAACACAATTAAAACTTGGTGATATCACTTCTGGATTCCCTACTTCTCTTCTTCTCTCAAGCCTTGTTCTTCATCTTCATCTTCTTCTTGAGCAAGTTAAGTTAAAGGAAAGAACTTTAATTTACTTCAAGTGTTTTTATAGCAAGCCAAGATAAGAATCAGATTGTACTCACCCCATGCTTCATCCTAAACACATATTTGTAAGGTTTTGACATAGTTTTCAAGAAACTGGTTTTGTGGAGGTTTAAGAGATTCCAAGATTTCATCTTGTTTTCAATAATCTATAGGCTTAGAAAGTTTTCTTATTACCTTATGAATTATTAAATTTAGCTAGTAACCTCTTCATTTGATTCTTGTCTAGTGAAAGAGGTTGGTAAAAGCTCTCAAGCAAGAGAAAAAGAGAAGCTCACATTCGGGTGACCTTTGGACGCCCTTAGCAGCTTAGAATCTTCAGGTAACTCACTTCTAACTCAACTATATCATGTGTAGCTTATTTTGATGAGATTTGGTAGGTTGCATGAGCTTGAAGTATTTTCATGGTAGATTCATAAATGGGGTGTTCCAGTATGTGTCAAGACCATTTTATGATCCCTAATATCATATTAAACACTTAAATATCAGTTGGAGACCTCAATAAAACTTTTGGGATGGAAAGATAAGATCTTTCGAGACAAAACATAGTATTTCATAGTAGGGGTATTGATACTGTAAGAACAAAATCGATATTGTTCTTCAGTTAGACAAAAATCAAACAAGTTTTCAAAGGAATTATTGATACTCATGAAAAGACTA